AAGATTTACCCAAATATAGCAAAAATCCATTTTTCGTTTTTGGGGTAGTTTCCGACTTTTCTACTGCAAAGGCCCCAAATAATCTTAAAAATCTTAAAATGACCTTGAATAATCTCAAATAATATCATTTTTATTATATAGTATATGTCAAAATAATTAAAATCATTTAAATGATCTTTTAATTTATCATTATTGATATCAGAAGTATAAGTTATTAACAATTCAATTTATATATATTAGGTTTGTAATTAAAATCAGAAAATTTATCTAAGTTTATTCTAGACCTATTCATATACAGTCAACTCTTAATATAATAAATTTTAATATAATAAATTTCATAATATAACGAATTTTTAATATGATATAGATATTTTTATATTAAAAAAAATCTTATTATACTGAATTTACTAGTATAATAATATATGAAAAAAATTTTATAAATACATATATAAATAATCTTATTTTTAACGAATTTATTTATAATAAATTTCTTTAATATAATGAAAATTAGATATTATTTTAAAAAAATCAGTCTTATATAAAAGAATAAAAAAGAACTTTAGTAAATATTCTTAGAGAAGTTCATCTTTTTTAAGAAGAAGAAATCTAATTTATAGTTAGTTCTCAAGGTTTAAAGAAAGCTAATTTTAAAAAAGTGAAGAAAAGAATATTAGTAAATATTCTCAAAGAAGCCTATTTATCTTAAGAAGAAGAATTTAACTTACTGATTAGTTTTTAAGATTCAAAAAAAGGCTGATTCTAAAAAAGAGAAATAAAAAAACATTATTAAACATTCTCAAAGAAGCTTATCTATTCTAAGAAGAGAAAAAAACTTAATTAATTCTTAAAATTTAAAGAAGAATCAATTTTAAAAAAAGAAGAAAAAGAATGTTAGTAAACATTCTCAGAGAAGCTTACTTATTTAAAAAAAGAAAAACTTATCAAGTAATTCTTAAGATACAAAGAAAACCAATCTTAAAAAAACAAAAAATAAAAAAATGATAAATACTACTACACTCTTAAAAATATGGAAGGTTTGCTATTAAAATTACATTACAGATCATATAATTTATTATGTTTGTAACTCAATTTTAATAATAAACCTTCTATATAGTAAAAGTATATCAGACTAATATTAATGAATCCTATTAGTAGTGATGATCCTATATAAAATTTTTGTAAAGGATATTTTAAAATAAATGTTATTATCTGATACCTAAAGAAAAATAAATATAAAAAAATATAAAAAAAAACTAATTTTAGAAAAACAACCTAAATAATGGTCTAACTTTAAAAAACTTTAAATTAAAATAAAAAATTTAATTAATAAATCCTCCTGTTTAAAAACAATAATTTTTTGTGATTACAGAATTTCACAAAAAATCACAAAATTTGGCTATAAAAATGTTGTATAATTTTAAAATTTAGGATTTGCAATCATTATAATTCTGGTAAGCCAGAATTTACGAATCGTAATGTTAGTTAACCTTGCTTAATTCTGACCAAATCATAAAATTTCACAGAATTTACTTTTATCACACACAAAATTTATTTTTTATCATCACAAAAATGGACATTCTTAACTTACACCAGAGGTGTAGATGTTTAACCTGCGCTGGGGTATACAATAAGTTTTAATGAATTTTATTGGATGAAAATTGATTGTGTAATATTATATAATTTATACTATCTTTATAAATAAAATTAATATTGTACAATAAACAATAAACTCTCGCTTGCATTTTCATATGAAATCTGAAGAGATGTGTGTTCTCGAACTAACAGCTTCAAATACATTTATAAATCATGATGATATTATAACACAAGTTCAAAATTTTGCAAATTTTTATAATTTTCAAATATGAAAAGATAAAGTAGAACGTGATAAAAATAATAATATTAAAAAAAGAACTATATTATATTCATGCGCAGGTGTTGCTGAACAAAAAAAAGAAAAAAATCATCAAAGAGATCGTCATTCTCAAAGATATAATTGTCCTTTTATGATTAGAGCATCATTTAATTTACAAACTGGACTTTGGCATATTTTAGCTATAAATTTGGAATATAATCATAAAATGATGATTCCTGAACATAAAAAATTTTTAAATAATCAAAGAATAATTCCACAAGAAATTAAAGATCGAATTAAAATTTATCATCAAGTAGGTTGTAATGTATTAACTATCAAATCTATTCTTAAACAAGAATATCAAGAATTAGAAATATGAATTTATAATGATATTTATAATTATATATATCAATTAGATAATAAATTACATAGTCGTTTTTTTGAAGCAGATGAATTTATTAATACTTTAAAGCAATTCAAAAGAGAAATTAATGGATTTGAATATGAAATCAAAGTTGATGAAAGTTCAAATGAATTACTTCAAGTAATTTGAATGTATCCAGAATAAAAATAACAATATTGTAGATTTTTAGATGTATTATTTTTGATAATACATACAAAGTTAATCAATTTAATATACCATTTGAAATTTTTACAGGAATAAATAATTTTGGTCAAAGTGTATATTTTACTAGAACTTTAATGTATCAAGAAACAATTAATAATTTTACATGAACATTTAAATTATTTCTTAAAATGATTAAATAATAATCTATCAAAAATAATACTTATAAATAAAGAAAAAGCAAAATTTTAAACTATATAAAATGTTTTTACTCAAAATAGTAAATATGTATTATGTATATAACATCTTTGAAAAATATAATAATCAAAAATTTATGTAATATATTAAGAACTAATTGGCATAATTTTATAAAAGTATTTTATGAATATATAAAAAAATATGAAGTTATTAATTTTATAATCAAATGATAACTTCAAATAGATTTTTAGATTGTAAAGCATATTTAAAAAGAATAAATAAAGTAAAAGAAAAATAGGCATCTTATTTTAATAGAGATATATTTTTTAGCAGATATGACAAATATACAGTGTAGAGAATCAATGAATAACCTTATAAAAATTATATGAATGCAACCAATTCATTTTTAGATTTTCTAAAAGATTTTGAATTTATATTAGAATAATATGATATTAATTAATTATTTAAATATTGGCAAAATTAATTTAATGTTATTTTAAAAATAATGAGTTTAATTGAATATCAAATAGCAAAAATATTAATAAATTTATGTATTAAAGTTAACACAATAACAATTATTATAAGCTTCTAATTATTCTTGTATAAAATTGTTTAATTTAAGGTGTTTTAATTATAATGTATTTTTATAAAATTTATTTAATTTTAATTTATTTTTAATTATTTAGAACTCAAAATATTCAATTATTTCATACTCATTGATTTGATTATTATGATAAATCTGAAAAAAAAATAATAC